TGCCAGCCACTAGGTTGATCCTCAGGATCCAGGACAGCATTTCTTCCTTGCTCCTGGGGACAAAGGAGGACATAAAGGGACTCCAGATTCTCATGATAGGACCTCCGGCCCTCCCCACACCTGGCATCCAGGACTCAGCATGAAGTCTGGCAGAGAAAAGCCTAATACCTAGGCAAGGACAGGAAGGAGGGAGGAGGGTGGGAGTGTGAGGATGAGCCTGGTCAGAACTGGGTAGGGAACTCCTATCTGGACGCCCATGAAGTAAGCCTGCTACAGTCTGGACTGGTGTCCCTACACCCCAGAAACACCAGTGTCAGCTGACCACCTGCCCAGCCTCGCCACTCCGTCCCCAGTCCTCACACACTAGTCTCCTTCATGGGAAACTTGTCTGGCATGTGGAAAACCTCATTCCTAGTCACAGAGGACGGGGTGCAGTGGAGTAGAAGGCCTTACGCGTCAAAGGTAGAGACAGCCCTTCCTCACAACCTCTGAGTCCCCGTCAAGGACTGAGTCACAGTCTATCAACCTGACCTTCAGGACTCCAGGGTGCACCTGCAGCCCCGTGGGCTTCTTAGACCCAGTCTGACTCTGTGGGCCTAAGATGGGGCAAAGAGGTAGTGCCTCTACCCAGCTTTCAGGTCACAGAGAGGACCACACTGAGACGGGCTGCCCTGGAAGACTTGAAGCAGCTATTGATCTGTGTCCAGCAGACACACCAAGTCTGTGGCTGACCAGCATGGACAACTGGGGTGTCTACCCTGAGACCAGGAGAGTGGAGGTTGCAGGGCTAATGGTGCAGGCAGCACAGTTTTGCTCCCACTTACGGTGCCTGGAAGAGGAAGACCCTCCAGTCTGCTGTCTTCAGCTTGAGCACGTTGGACTTCTTACTGTAGTCAGAAGCCCTGGTGGCCAGAGCATGATGCACACGGATGGCATTCTTCAAGTCGCCCTCAGACAGAGCCTTGTCGGGCCTGTATTCATCCTGAGTGAGGCATGCTGTGTCACTCCAGGCTGTGGCTTACTGCCCCACACATCCCATTGTCCCCCTCTCACTGTCCCCTGTATGACCTCTACCTTCCCAGACCCCAATGAGAGTCACTCCATGTACTCTCCCCTCACATTCCAGTCTGTCCCAGAGGCCTGACACTAATCCACTTGGCAACAGAGTCCACTTCCCAAAACCCTCAAAGCTCCTGAGTGAGTCCAGGTCTGACCTTTAATAGAAGAAGGCCCTATATCCTCTCTAGGCCCTAGTCCTGGCCAGAAGACCCTGAGTTGGATACCATAGGCAGGGAATAGATGAGACTGAGCAAGCCGTTTCTAGGTAAGGGCTGTGAAGCAGCCTCCCTCTCACCTTCTGCAGGTACAGGATGGTCCCTTTGAGCACCGCGTAGAATTTCTTCCAGCCACGCCTTCCACGGGGTGCTGGGGGGGGGGCGCACAGGTAGTATGGCTGCAACCCTCTGCTTCAATAACTCTTACCTTGTCACCCCATGCATGTCCACTTTTATGTGTGTCCCCAGAGGAATGACCAAGACTAGGTCCCTCCTACATCAGCAGCCCTCCCAGGTCCCATCCCCAGCCTGACACCCACTCCTCTTGCCGTCCATGTCAGCATGAGTCTTCCGGGTGAGCACGCCATGCTTGTAGGTAGTAGCGCTGAGAGCCTGCGGGACATCCAGGAATGGATTGCCACCATCCAAGATCCGAGTCACCTTCTTTGTGCCTGTCCCAAACTTGTCATCCACCAGCTCAGACAGGGATTTTCTCAGCTCATTCTCATCACTAGGAAGGTACCAGACCTGAGAGCCACCTCCTGAGAGGACTTGTCCCCACCCCTTGCCACAGCCTTTCCCACCAGACATCCCTCTGGCATCAAGGTTGGAGACAAAAGATTGCAGAATACATCTCCGGGGTCTGACCGCCCCCATCTTCAGTCCTGACCTTTGATTCAGGGTCTCTAAGCTAATCTTCACCTTTAACATAGGGTTGAAGACTTTTGTCTTCAGGTCTCCTTCCCCGAGTCTTCCTTCTCTCCAGCCCCAGGAGCACTACCCCCCTTCAGAATGAAGCTGTTGTATAAACCATGCCAACATCCTGGAAATAGTAGGACCATGAGACAAGCCCTGAAGTCCAGGTCTACCATGGGATCCCTAGTAGAACAGTGCCCGTTCTTCTCAGCAGGGTTATAGTCCCTGAGATTTTGGTCTCCACACATACACAAAGGCACAATCCTCCCTCGGGAGCTCAGCCACAGAACCTGTCACAACTGCCCCAACCAGAGACATCTTCACCCCTCTTTGCTGATGGTTGTGCACACCCAGCCTTCAGAGGTGAAGGAGTTCGGGCATTCACCCCTCCCCACTGCCAAAGCAGTCTCCACCCAAACATCTTCATACTGCTAGTATTGTTGGGGACCTGTGCCTCTTGCCCTTCTATTTCCCAAAAGGGGAAAATGCTGTCATTAATTGGGAACTCCACAATATCCTTGGTAAGAACAAACCAGTCACAGACACTCCTAGAACTAAATTCATGGTTGAATCTATTCTACAGCAATGTAAACTTTCCACACCTGTAATCAAGTCAGAAAAAGAACCGGCAAGGGTGTTGCCCAGCTGGGTAGGGGTTGTCAGGGGCCTGAGTTAGGATAAATCAGCACCATGGAGAGTGGTCACCATGGCCAGCCCCTCCCTCTCCTGGT